GCAAATTAGAAATCAATGATTGTATTTTTCTTTTTTGCAAAGAATCAATGATTGTATTTGCATGCTCATCATTTACTAGCTTTGTTGCTTTCATTTTCCCTATAGTAGCTACTCAACCAACTCCCAATATAATTATATTTTTCCATGTTAAATTTAATGTAGTTAGGTAGGTTTAGAATTAGTTTAATAGGTAGACTATAGTATATGGTTTTAGAATTCAATATGAATATAGTTCAATGGGTCAAAACACCTATTTTCGACCAAAAGATCGCGAGTTTAAATCCCACCCAACATATCGTACTAACAAAATTTTGAGAAATTGATTATTTTTTTCTTTTCCCTTTTGATAATAAATGTTCCTTAAAATAGACAATTACAAATTTTGAAAATGACAATACTAGCATTATCTCTATTATCATCCTATTAAGAAAATTGACAAAATCTTGACTAACATGTCATTTAGAATTAAAATCATGAAATTGAAGAGAATAATTTTCTTGCACGTTTATCTTCATAAAACATGACTAGATGTAAATATTAAAATTGTAGTATAGTTTGTTTGACCTTTATTATTAATATTTTTTTCAATATTGAGTAGAAATCACAAATAACTATAAGATCGGGCATTTACTTTTTTTTTTTTTTTGGAAACAACATTTCGACCTTTAATTAACCAGACCTTTTATTTAAAATCAATTATATGTCCAAGACCGTAGGTAGAGATCTAATATGGAGGGATGATGGCAATTAATTAGTCTTTATTAAAGTTAATATACTAGATTAGATGTTTTTTTTATGTGGTTCATTAATTATCATGACCCAAATTAAAGTTTAAGAATTGATTAAGTTAATTAATTAACATTCAAGGTGTCTCCCACTTCATTAGCTCATGATTAAGCCTACGAAAGGCAAATATTCTATAGTTGTAATTTTGAACCATCAATTATTATCTTTTGTTTTGAGGCATGAAATGAAAGGTTCCACACAAGACCACAACACACACTTGTTTGGCCATGTGCTTCTTTTTTCCACACCTACCATTACCAATCTTGTCCAAATCATACCCTTATTAATTTCCCCAATAATTTACCTAAATTTATGTAAATTAGCAAAGTTTTGCGATTGAGATTTATGTTCGTGTTAATCGTGTATATCATTTCGAGAACTCCGTGAATCAAGATAGTTTTTCTTTCTTTTTTCCTTTTTTTTTTGGTAGTGGGAGTAGGATATAATCCAAATATGTAGAGTTAATCCTATATTTGATTTGACTCTTCCAGACAATAAATTGTTTCTATTTCGAATGAAAAATATAGGAGGTGCTGTACCTAGTTAGGACTCGAGATATTGGGACATGATCTAGAAATGAATATAAGTTCTTGAAAGTATTTAATATATTTCATTTTTTACCCCGATCTTAAAATTAAATTTTGAAAGGGTAGCAAATTTTAGAAGTATTGAAAGATTCTATAATTCAATTCTCCTCCAACGCTCTAAAGATTCAATTCTTCAATTTTTTTTTTGAGTTTTTGATTATTTTGTTCTATAGGTTTAGGTATAATTATGTCACTTAAGTTGTTTTATTTTTCAATGTTTGTTTTAAACTTTTTGGTTATTTAAAAATTTACAAGCTTACGTAAGATTCTAGCATCTTTTTTTGTCTAATAAAAAATAGCTTGATGTGTGACAAAAAGAACTGTTTGGCCAAAAATAGGAAGAGATTGGCTTACGTCATTGGCTTAATGGAGAATTGAAGATGTATTTTCGTTTAATAATAAAATTTGCATATATTGTACCTTGTGTTTGTGTGTATATATATTTAAGAAATAGGAATTATAGATCCGTTGGAATATTTTCGTTTATTATTTTCTTATTTTTCGTTTTTAATTTTTGAGAAACACAAAATTTTTAAAATTGTTTTTGTTTATCAAGAAACATTTTTAAAATTAAATATAAATTTCGGAAACAACATAATTAAGTTTTTTATTTAATAACAAAGAGGGAATAAGAAACAAAAATAGAAACGCTATTAAACAAACTAAGAGTAAATCTCAACCTTTTAAAAGCGTTATATGAAGAAAGAGATATATATTTTTTTCAATTATTTTGTAAATAGCACAATTAAATATGTCAGATGGTTTAAATAATTTGGGGGAAAAAAGACTCCCCTTCTAGAATCCAAAGAAAAATTACTCTCCAACATCCATAAATTTGTCATTATATTCATGATTATAATGGAAAATAAAAATTTATAAGACGACATATTTAGTGGATAAAGATTACATAAAAATATAAAAATGTATAAATATTTTTATTGTTTGGATTATTTGGAAAAACCAAAGAATTTCATGTCAGTAGCAATCTTTTTTTTTTATTCTTTAAAAATAATTTAATGATGGAATGCCAAGTAGCAATCTTTGTACGATATTGAAATAGCAATCTCATAAAAGACAGACAATGTAAGCAAACCGAAGACCCTTTGTCAAATAAAAAACAAAAATTACTAATTTTTTTTTTTTATATATTTTACATTTTTTTAATGGTGCAAATCGGTAAGTGGTGGACCATTTTCACCCTCTTTTTATAAATAATTGAAAGCGCCTGTCACTTCTACTATATGTTAGATGTATGATTAAAAAACATATCTAGTGATTATAAAATTGATAATTAGACTGAATAAATAATAACTTTTGTTATTATTTTAGGTTAGTTTACCATTTTAAAATTTATAAGAACCTTTATTTTTCAAATTTTATATGGCATGGGAATGTTGTGTTATAAAATTTTGTTAATCTTAGTCATATAAATTTGTCTAAATCAAATAAGGTAATATTTGATTTTTTTTTTTTTTTAAAGAAAGGTAATATTTGATTATTTGATTTTCTGAATTTAATGAAATGTAATGAGAGTGGTCATGCTTTAAGTCCGTGTAACATTCTCAAAACTTGTTTCTCATTTATTGAAAAATCAATTATTTTCTAAAAGTAGGAAAGTTTTTTTTTATATATATATACAACATGTTGGGGGCAGGATTTGAACTCACAACCTCTTGTTGAAAGTATACGCCAATTACAACTGACCAATGTTGGCTTTGGCAAAAAAAAAAACAGGAAAATTAAATGAAAATAAAGGAGACAAATTATTTTGATAAATTAACCCTACATTAGAAAAGCGACATCTTATAATAAACAAAATTATATGTGTTTAATTCACCTCCACATACCAAATAAAACAAAGGTTACCTTCAAAATTATTTATCTATGTTGAGTGAGATAGAAATAATTACAAACCTAAAATAGATTTAGTTGTAAATGGTAATGCGATGATAGCATGGGTAGGGGAAGGAAAAAAAAAGAAATATTATGAATTGCATCAACATCATTGAATACTGTAAGAATGTAATTTAATTTAAACTATACAAAAAAATGTGATGATGGAAATGGATAAATGAGGAAATTAAGGCAATGAATGATGAGGTGAATGAGTGAGGGAAGGGAAAGGGGAAGGGGAAGGGGAAGGGGAAGGGGAAGGGGAAGGGGATGATAAGATCACCTGTCAGTGTCACTGCATGGCCCAAACCCATCATGATTACCTCAATTCCACTCATCATATTACATAAAAACCACCAATCATAAATATCATTTCATTCTCAATTTAATTCACTATATTCTATTTCTCCCTATTAATACCATAATTATTAATTTGTCGAGAATCCATCATTATGAGTCATTTATTTAATTATTCTCTAGTATAATAAAAATTGAGTGATTCCCATTTTGAAAATTAATTTGTTTGTCTTCGGTTGTTCCTCGAACACGACCTATTGCAAATAATGTGTCAATTACCGCTTTGATTTATTTATTTTTTTTTAAAGATTGATTTGGTCTTTTTTTTAATTATTATTTTGTACATCAAATAATTAAAATATGAGATGACATTATTTAATGTTGAGTATTAGAATAATTGAGAAAAGTTTAATTTGTTTCGTAGGTATTCATTCACCGTATAGATTTCGGACCCGTTTGGGTAATCTTTCATTTTTTTTATATTACATTTTTTTAATATATACAAAAAGAATAGTGATTTCATCTTCCAAACTCCAAACAAAGTTAATAAAGTCTACTTTGATAACCATTTCGTTTTTAGTTTTCAAAATTATGTTTGTTTGGTTATCATTTATTTGGTATGTTTACACTTTTCTCGAAAGTACGTTTAAATCCTTAGTCAAATCTCACTGTTTTTTATTTGTCCAAATTTGGCTTAAATTTTAAAAATATTTTTAAAAAGTAGACAGCAAAACAAAAAAATACATGGTCGAAAGTAATGTTTACAAGCTTAATTTTCAGAAACAGTAAATTAAAAATAAAATGATTATCGAGATCTAAAACAATAATTTCGACCTAAATAACCTATAATCATACTAGTTTAAACAAATGCCTAACTATTATTGAGATATTCATCCATGTATCTAAGTGATATCAATATTTCCTTTCCCATAGCAACTTAGCTCAGCACTCTAGAGACCAGAGGTTCATTCCTTTATCATCACATTTGTTATTGTTTCATTCCTTATCTAAAAAGAAGAAAAAGAAAATTCTTTCTAGTCCTACCTAGGATATACAATATACATATATTATATTATATTATATGTAATCTTTGTGGGTGATATTATATTTTTGGGGGGTGGGAAAAGGACGAGGGAGGGCACTTGGGGTTTGGTGGCTAATGGACCAGTTAAGGGTCGCAGAGGTTTTGGCGATGAATTGCCGGTGTTTAATGGAGCCGTATAGGGTCCACTAAATAGTTGCATTCCACGCCACAGGAGGAGGGCCCCATTTAAAGACAATTCTGGGTTCCTGTGCCTTTCGCCTCATTTCAAACCGTTTGCAGACCAGAAGAACTCATATCGAGACAGTAATGATGAGATCAGGTTGGTCGATACTACGAGAATATCATATTCTATTTATTCATGCTCTAATTAAGCTGTTATAAACACTAAGATATACATATTCTCGCAGTACCAGAAATTTCAATACTCAATCACTTTGACAATAGAGAGGGAAAAAACAAAGCTTTTCCTCCTAACTAAGAAATCCAAATCTCTCTCTCTCTCCTCTCCTCTCCTCTCTCTCTCTGTATTCCCTATGTTGTGTTGGGTTGGGTATTCCCTAGAGCTTCCACAACTCTATATATCCCCCTGCTTTTACACCATCCATTACAAATCCCTCTCTCTTTCTCTCCCTATAGCAAAGACAAGTCTCTCTCTCTCTCTCTCTCTTCTCTCTATCTGTGTGTAGCAAAGACAAGTCTCTGTCTTCTTCAACTCATTCATCCATTCTGCTGATTTTATGAATGGATCATTCAAGTGGACAACACCATGTAAGGATATGAGACAGCTTCTCCTAATGTTTCAATCACATTAATTTTTTCAGTACATGTCTTTTGAGTCAATTAGTTGTTTCTCAAGATGTCCCTTCTTCTAATTACCTGATAATTTTGTTTAATTTGCCTTCAGGAAGCTCAAGCCCAACCACTGGAGAATATGCTGGCCATTTCATGTCCAAAAGTACAGCAAGAGAACAGAAAGCCAATGAGGCCACAGCCAGAGCAAGCTCTGAGATGCCCAAGGTGTGATTCAACCAACACCAAGTTCTGCTACTACAACAACTACAGCCTCTCCCAGCCAAGATACTTCTGCAAGTCCTGTAGAAGGTATTGGACCAAAGGAGGCACTCTAAGAAATGTTCCTGTGGGTGGGGGCTGCAGGAAGAACAAAAGACCATCACCTTCTACTTCATCTTCTTCATCTCCTTCTTCAAAGAGATCACATGATCAACCTCCAAGTGCTAATTCTAGCCATCTGATGCTTACTGATCCCCATCTTCCATCTTTGGCCTTTGAAACCACTGACTTAAGTCTGGCATTTGCTAAGCTCCAAAATCAATCAAATGGGCAGATGGGTCTTTTTGATACCCACAACAACTTTCATAATATGTACTGTGGGTATGGAAGTGGGAGCTCAGGGGAGGTTGAAAATGGTGGATTGAGTAATTTTGAACATTATAACAGCAGCGGTCCTGCATCTACAGCAATGAAGCAAGAGTTGGTTAGCAATGGAGATCAGAATATGGTTTTGTGGGGTTTCCCATGGCAGTTCAACAATGGAGATGGGAATTACATGGGTGATCTTGATTCAGGGAGAGAGAGCTGGAATTTCAATGGAAATGGAATTGCTTCATCCTGGCATGGGCTTCTCAACAGCCCTCTAATGTAAGGCCTTGGAGTGGCTTTGTTTTGACAGAGTAACTAAACAAAGTACTTGAATTACCTGTAATCTTTCGATCATACCAAACCTATGATCTAGCGCTATCAGTGTTCTGGTTAGAGAAGGCAAAGTCAAACTTGGATAAGCTCTTTTTTCACTTGTTTATCTGCTCATTCTAAGGTGAATTTTTCAAGATCTTGATTACCTAACAAATCAAGAAGAGTTTTATAATTTTCTATTATTTTCCAACTAAAACAGTTTCACAGAGCCCATGGGTTGGTTACATACATTAAGAGGGAAAAAAACGTTTTACACCACTAAAAAAGACAGAGAACAGGTATGAGATTGGTTTTAAAATCTGATTTTTGTACAATTCTAATCTAAACAGTCATTTCAAGCTATACTGCAAACTTCCATATATAACAATCTCATTTCTAAGCTCTCATGGAGGGCATAACAAAACCCTCCTAAGTCCTAACAGCATGAATCTAACCAGAATCAAACCATTAAGCTCGAACCCAATAGAAATTAAGTTAAGACGGGAGAAAAAGCCAATGATTCAAATGCCTTGAAACTATATCCAGACTGAAGATGACATTTCATAGTCTGCGTAGTAGTCTGAACACTGGGAAGTACTAAAAGGGTGGCTGTTACAGAACTTTGCATCTTAATAAGTGCTGTTTTCAAGATATTCCGCCATGATTGCCTTCTAGTTGATGTCTATTATTCCCCCAAATCCAACCCCACTATTAAATTAAATCCACCAAGGCAAGGGGCAGGGCAGGGGCACAATTATTTTATAATAATTCAGAAAATGAAGCACCGATTTCGGGGTAGATTTTTCTCTAAGTTCGCAGACAAATCCAAGCGAGAAGATTTGGGCATGAGAGAATAGTCAACAGTCCAGCTTGAAAATTAATTACGCATGCATGAATTAGATTTTTGTTTGGTCGGGGCATTTTTTCAAACATATTGTGTGCAACAACAATGACTTACAGAAATCTTCGGCGGACAGCGACACAGCCGTTGCCGCCATTGGAGAGAGGCAGCAGCCGGCAGCTGTTCATGGACAAATTACGGAATCTTCCAAGTTCCGAGTGAGGTTGAAGCCTTTTTACCTATTCAGATTGAGCCGAGAAAAGATCTGCAGAGACTATCCAGCCCTATATTATCGCTAAAAAAATGACAAAAGTTTTCGAGATTTGTATCAGATTAAAAAACTAATTTGAATGGCCCGCTACAAGAAATCGGTTTCCGCGCCTCGTTTCTTCAACTAAATAATAGCAGTTTATACTTTATAGAAGATTTGTTCTCTATAATTTTTTTTATTTTTTGGTAAGTTTGCATTTCGTTCTTCTAATTTTAAATGGTTCGATTTTGTTCTTAAGTTAAACTTTAAAAATCATCCATATATCGTTATATTTCACCTACTAAAAGAAATTACTCATGTGCACATATTTCTTTTACTCTAAAATTCTAGTATACTACAATAAACTAATACTAACTCATTATTATGTCAAACCTGCCAATCGCTCGAAGTTTAAGTAGCATGATAAGTTGTTTGGACCTTCTTAAAGGTCGACCCGATGTAAACTTTGTTGATAGTTTTACCCTTCTCAAAAGTTGAACCGACCAAAGAAGATCCCAGTAGCTCTCCCTCGTAAGGGACGAGCTGATGTTTTTTTATGTTGGTTGTCACAAATCAACAACCAATTTCTCCAACAAGATGCTATGATTTATAGAGATAGTCCTAACTGTTCTTCGACCGTTGTCAGAAGTTCAACCTCTATGAATAGGGAATCTTGTCTCATTTTTAGGTATGCGAAACTATTATCTCTTGAGTAATAGATCGGATCAAGACTAATTTGAGTATCAGAAATTTTTACTCTCTTCATAAAAGTTCATTCATTCCTCGACCTCATTTATATATGAGTTTTACAATACTTGATCATTTTTGTGATCAAACACCAATTATAAAAATTGAGCATGTTATAAAAATTAAAACAAAACTTTTAAAATCGTCAGAACAGAGTTTATAATTTATAAATCATTAATGAAAAATCAACAAGTAACTAATAAGTAATAAGTACTAGTTCAAAGTTATGGACTTTGAAAGTAAAAGGAAGCAAAGGTAAGACTTTAAAAGTTTAGGACCTAATAAAATAAGTGCAAAATTTATTAACCAAAATATGTATTAAAATTAAATACTAAATTTGAATCAATAGACTGATACATCCTTTAAAAGAAATACTTGAAACAGAGGATAAGCTTTTTGCTATGGTGAATATTTTTTTGATCCCTATATTTTTAAAATATTTTTCTTTTAGAAAAATAATCATTTTAATCCCGACTTTCTATCAATAATTTCAACAAAACATTGTCTTCATATACCTAAATTTTATATTAAACGGTTTTCGTTGTATATAGAATTTGTGTTGAAATTTTGTAAACATAAACCAAAATAGTCACCTTTTAAAAAGCGCATGGACTAAAAATGAATCAAAATTAGAATTATAGGAACAAAATAGACATTTTAAAAACCAAAATAAATCAAAGCAATATTGTATTTTAACCTTAAAAAAAAACCTCCGAAAATAAGAGGTTAAAAGTAAAATTTAGGAGCATTCGGAAATTATTTAAGAAAACATCTTTAGTATTTAAGAAATTATTTATCCTTAAAGACTATTTTTAGGAGCTCTTTTGGGTGACTTAAAAAAGTTGATCTTTTGCATTCGGAATCAATTTTCATGAAATAACTTCTAAGATTAAAAAGGGAAAAAACTTTGAGAAGATAACTTTTAAAGAAAACAGTCACTTAAACATACTATTACTGATTTTTAATTATTAAAAAGAAAAATATAATTCAAAATTGCTCTAAATTAACCCTTCAATTTTCTTCATCCTAATTCCTAAATGAGTAGGGTTGGCAACCAAACTTCTTGTCCATGGAAGAATGGGCGAAAAAAGGGCTAAAACCAAATTGGTTGGGTCATTAGAGAAGGGGCCAGTCAGTCAAAAGAGGAAGATCTTGGGATTTGAATTTATATGATTGATACCAAAATCGAGTTCTCTCTCTTGAGGCTCCTGCTTTCTTTGGATTCTGTTTTTGCAAACCAAAACTCATCTCCTTGCTGCGTTTTAAGCAAACATGATGTTGACAATTCACCTTGTTCCTAACAAAAGAACGTCCCATCTCACAGAACCTAATTGGGCATCCTTACTTTTTGGGGCCAATCTGCATAAATAATACAGCTACCCATATCACAGCTTTCAAGAAACATAATTTCCAATTTCTGAGGTGCTTTCATGTTCCAACTGTATAGTGTTTCCTGTAGAAGCACTTGATTAATAATGCACTAAGAATGGAGATCTTGAAAGGGATGGTTTCAGAATTTAAACCATGCTGAATGAGGAAATCAAACTCTTACACCAATATGATTAAAATGAATCATATTTGGAGAGAGAATAATGTTTGTGTACCTCGTGGATCAAGAAAACAAGTGGAATCCAAGCCTGTAAAAATTACTTGGGCATCCACAATGCAGCCCCCAAGTAATCCAACTCATGGAACTAAAGAAAGGATCAACAGCATAGTTTTTAAGATCCATCATTCTCCCAGAATTGAACATGGAAGTGAAAAAAAAGCTGGACATTCACATTCACTGCAATAAAGCAGAATCATTTCAAGACCAAACTTCCTGGCATTTTGATGGGGGAAGAGAAGGGGCGGTGTCCCACTCAAATTAATCATAACAGAATCTGTTCTGATTGCAAATAAAATTATGTTTGAATCGCGACATCTCAACAACAGGATTGCAGCGCAAGAGTATATATCAGACAACCGAGTAATCTAATTAATTGCATATTGCAAGAAACGAAGAAATGAAGACAAAATCTATCTTGAAAAACCGAGAAGCTTAAGACCTTGGCTTCTCCTTCTTTTCCTTAAAGAGAGCCAGAAGAGATACACCTGACACCTTCACCACCTTAAATCTGACTCCGGGAATATCACCAACAGCATGTCCTTTTCGGCCAAATCCAGCAATGAGAACCTCGTCCTGTACACGACCATGAATATTATTGCAAAAGTTGAACAAATAACAGAGAGCAGGTAATAGTAGCCAAAATCTCAGTGGTCGCAACCCACTCCCGCAAATACTTACATTCTCTTCAATGTAGTTCAAACAACCATCATTTGGGACAAAGGCCGCGATCTTCTTCCCGTTCTTAATAAGTTGAACTCTAGCACACTTCCTAATAGCAGAGTTAGGCTGCTTAGCCTCAATACCACTGCACGTTACACCAGAGAATTACTTGTTAAAACTTAAAATTAGTTTTAGCTAATAAGCCTAAAAAATGCACTACTAAAATCATCTTACATCTTTTCTAGGACGATGCCTTTTGCATGTGACGATCCAGCAAATGGCTTCTTCCACTCGTTTCCAAGATGGGATTTCTTGTATGCTTTGTCAGCCCACCTTTGCCTTCTACGGTGGGACTTCAACTTGCGACCAGCTCCCATTCCACGTGTCTTCCTGTAAGATATTACTACTGCTTTAACAAAGAGGATACAACTGCCGATGTGCAGCAAAAACATAGAATCACGGAGCTTTTTCCCAATACCCCAAAAGTCTAGTCAATTTTTCCTCTAGATGAAGGCAATTAACATAAAACAAATAGCAGACTTAAACATGTGACTTCTAAACAAAACATAGATTCACATCAATCGTATTTCTTCTTATCTGTAGGTTAGGAGAATACATATACACCATTAATAATGCTTGTGCCAATTTTTCCAGTGTGGTGGCAGACAAATACTAAACAAAACATAGATTCACATCAATCGTATTTCTTCTTATCTGTAAGTTAAGAGAATACATATACACAATTAAGAACGCCTGTGCCAATTTTTCCAGTGTGATGGCAGACAAATACTGTAAATGTTGTTGTGTCAAAAAACAAGTGCAATCAAATTATTGTTGCACAAATTCGTTAAATCAAACTGAAACCATAGTCACCAACTTGTTATCCGGGCACAAAGAAATACGTTAGCATGTCCAAACTTTCAACATTTTGCAAACCAAACAAAGCAAGTAATCTGGCATTGTCATCCAAAAACCTTAGACAGCTATAATGAATATTATTCCCACACCGAGGAACGATTGTAACAAACAACGCCTCAATTATACAGTGAAAAACGAAATAGGTCGCGTCACTTGCAATAGCCAATGACAATATCAACAGATTTACTTCGGATTGAGAGCACGGCAACTGGGTAGCGCAATTCATCCTTCGTCGCCATTGCCATGGAGTTAAATATATCTATCAACTTCGAGAAACTAATATAACCATTTCAGTTCGTGGAGTAAATTTTACTTATCAGTCTTCCTATAGATAAGATCCAGTAAAGCAATGAAAATCCCGACTTAGAACACTTCCTTCCCCAGAACGTTCATCTAGATAAACAATTAAGAGCAACCACCTAGAATGACGAAACAAAACTTACCCCATTGTGAGGGTGAGAAGATGATCTCCGACTGCGAGATTAGGGTAGCGGAGTTCCGATGAAGCTGCTCTGGATGACGCCGCCGCAACGTCTGTGAATGAAACCCTAGGTTTCTTGGCCCCTTTTTATACTGTTAGGGTTCTTTGCTAACCCGATCCTCACTCTAATGCTACTAATTTGCCACGTCGGCAACGCCTCTTCGAACTTGTTTTTTTTTAATCCTCTTTTGTTGTAATTTACTCGCTTGTTCCGGCAATATATAATTGTTAGAGATACTTGATTTTTATCTTTAAAATTTGAATTTAAATAATAAATGAAATTGAATGTTCCTAGAACTTAATAAAAAAATCATTCAAAAATTAACCCCATAAATCGCCTAAAATATCAAATATAAAAATAAAGAAAAACCCAATAGCAAAATCAAATAGGCAAAAAAAATTCTTAATAAAAAAAAGGACAATATATTTTTTTTTTTGCCAACTCCTACCATGATTACCATGATTTGAATTCATTCCATTTAAACCTTTTGCTATACACATTCAATTAGCTTAAAATAATGCCTCTCTACTCGTTTAATAATAATGCATCTCAATTAATAGAAGTCATCAATTTAACCACTTATGTTAAGCTAAATTTTGATGAAATTACAACTTCAGTTAAATGCAATAGCAATAAAATAATATTCCTATTTCAGTCCATGTACATTGGTTAAATACAGTGGTTCACATGTATAGTATTACATGGAGATGAGCTTTTAAAGAAGAGGCTACTTTGCATAATTCAAATAGAGTGTAAAAAACTTCACAACTAATAAAAAATAAACCAAAAATATATCTTTCTAAATTCGTGCACACCTGTAAATAAAGACATCTATTACTATTCAAAAGATAGATCATTCGACCCACCAAGTCATTCCTTCCAAACATGTTGTACAAGAACAGCCCAAAAAAAAAACCTTAACTAATGGTTTCTTCCTGGCTCATACAATTCAAAACTTAGAAAACTTGAGGAAGCAGGGAGATATGGGGACTTTCTTTACTTTAAATTTTATATTCGAGTGTGACACTTTGGTAGGCATGGCTTCAAAGAATTTCACTTCTTAGCACCTCTACAATGTGCTCTTATTAACCGTTTGCTTCACATCCTTGAGCAATATCTGAAGATTTTGCAAAGATTTGCTTCTCCATACCACCCCGCCGCACCAAAAACTGCAGGATGTTGGAGGAGACCAAATTGGATGGAGAAAAATAATCACACAAGGGCTTTTGCCTTTTCGTCAAACAGTTGTAAACACAATCACAACTGTGTTTGTCCGGGAGATTTCAGCACTCGTCCATCAAATCCTCGAATCTATTGAAGAACAATAAGAGCCAGTACTCGTAGTCCAATTTGCAAACCGTCGTGTTTAAGATAAATTGACATATCACCTGATAAAACCAGTTTACACTATACAGGCTGTCCTTCATCCAAGTAGCCAAGAAAGATTTCAGGTTAGAGTTGATAGTGTAATAATGATGATGATCATCTTAGCAATCTTGTCCTTCACATGATCTTCCATGGTAATTTAGCGTAGCTGGGGTGGCCACCATTAAAACAGGAAACGCCTTTCCGATTTCCCTAGGTACTTCATGGTGCTCGAGCAATCGATATGTTTGACTAAGCCTCTGCCTTTTCCTATCTACCTTCTTTTTCAAAATTCATAGTTTCAATTTCCCCACGCGATTCTTCTTCTTCGTTAGACCACCTTTGACTGCATATAAACTATAAAGCATTAACAAGTGCATGAGGGCCTACTTCAGAAATTAGGATGTTCCCTTTTCTAGTCATTAAATCAAGTACACTGTATAAGCATATGCAAAAGAAAGCAACAGTACTTGAAAGTCAATTTTTTTTTTTTTTTTGAAATAATTTAGCGTAGTGGCTTTATTGTGTACAAAACGTGATTACTTGTTGTGATACAATACTTGAAATACGAACTTTTTTCCAATAATTTGGTTTGTTCAGTCTTTGACGTAGTACAAAGAGACATTTTGAATTGGCTAACTGCCAATCCAAAGTGCAGAAAGTGGAGCAATTATCAAGACGAACTCTGTATGTCTACCACTATTGCATAGAAGGTGCAGTGGCCAGCCTCAAAAGGAGCCAGACGAACATGTCTCTGACATTAAAACCATTTTCTTTTGTTTGCTTATGACATTTCCATTGGACAATTCAGGAGCAACTAATGATCAAAACAGACTAACCCCCCAAGGAGGAAAGTATGGATGGAGAAGGCAAAACCCAGAAGATATTTTTTAAATGGCAGAGAGTATAACAAAATATTAAATTATACTTTTAACATATTATTTTGAGTTTAGTAGTAGTTTAACATGTATCAAACCATAAAATTCTATGTTCAACCTCTTGTCATTTCCTCAAATATTTCACTTGTTAAGTATTTTGCTAATTTTCAACCCAACAGCTATTGAGCTTTTTAATTTAAATTTTGAGGTTTCTGGTAATCTAACATCAACTAATCTTTCATCTCGAATGAGTGATTGTTTGTGTATGTATTGTGGGGATTGGATCTTTACATTCAACAATGTTCAGTTGGGTTGTTTTTATTCCTGAAAGTATGGATACTTCAACAATTTCCTACACGAAAAATATTCAAGTTTAATTGGAAGAACATGATTGTGTTGTGATGTGACTATATCATCTTCAAAAGAATCAAAACCCATTTAAAACTGAACATCTTAAGTGGCTCTAGCTACTCAATTTTCATTATACATGAAGAACCACCGGGAATTAGGCAAATAACAAATAAAGAGGTTACATCATATCTTACTTGGTATAATTCACACTTTTGCAGGATTTTCACGGCACTGTTCTGGACTCCATCTTGTAACCGTACGTTCTTCAATGGAGTAGCTGTCCAAAAATGAAGGAGAAACAGAACTGCTTCCATTGTTATTGACGCTAAGAACTAGCAGCGTTTTTGCAACGCTTCCACAGAGCCGAATTGTGCAGAGAAAATCAGACCAAACTCTCAATCGCCCATTTTCGTTACTGTCTCCTCCTCCTTCGGACAACACAAGAACAGCAAATTCAGAGTGGACGAGAGCCGGATGGTGACGATAAGCCACAAAATCAACCCCGTATTGAGATCCAGGTCTGACAACCCAATTCTTCATCCGGAGATGTTGATAAGCCTTGTAAAACTCAGGGAACGTAGCCTTTTGGGACTTCATATACTCCCACAGCTGTTCAGCATTCTTTTCACAATCTTGTCCATCGACAATTTTGAGGCATTTCAAATGACAGGACAAGTAAAACGCCTCCTCCACGCCCAATTGAAACCATTGCTTATCCTTATCGGCTGTAACAATGGGTCGACCGAAACAAGCGCGATTGAAAAGATCGGTTTGTTCTTCATCTGCTTGATAAAGTACACTACATCCGGACAATAGTCCCTGAGCGTCCGATTGTGTTAGAGAAGATTGAAGCTGAAGTACAATCTTCGACATGGGATCTGCTAGAGCTTTGGCTTCTGAACCCTTCCCTTTCCATCTTGGCCCCATTTAAGCCGGCCTGAAAGAGTTGAAACAACGAAATCGAGGTTTCAAATTTGTGCCCTAATACGTCGATTCACAAGATCAGGAAGAAAATGAAGAAATGAAGGAGAATCCGATAGAGACGCTTCACAAAAAAAGGAAAATTGAGAAGGACGGCGGCGGAGGGGAAAGCTAATAACTTGCCGATCGAAAAATGGCGTTCCTCGCCCCAGTCTCGCCTTTATGGGTCGGGTTCGCCGGTTATTTTGTTCAAGAAAGTTTTAATAAATCTATGAATTAAAAAATAAATTAAAAAAAATTGTTGATTTTTTTCTTGTACAATAAAACAATATGGAGGGGAAGTGTCGAATAAATGCATGAATTTTATATTTTGTATCAAATATATTTTCTTTTATATAAAATCAAATAAATTTATTAATTTTATATGATATGTCCCTAAATTTTCAATTTTATGTCCTTTATTAATATTAATGTATAATTTTGTTTCTAATATATTATTTAATATCTAATAGATTTTATCCAAGAATTAATGACATATTCGATATTTTTTAAAATTCATATATATTAAAATAAATTTTAATTTTATGTTGAGACCACAAATTTTTATACACAAAATTAAAAATTCATGAGCCTAACAAACAATCTTATAGTTTGAGGATCTATCGTACAAAATTAAAATTTTAAAGACTTAATTAGATAATTTTTAAAATTTAGAGATGTATTAAATACAAACTTGAAATATATGAAACAAAGTTATAATGAAATATCAACATGACAAATGTCTCTAACCAATAAATCATAAGTTCAAATCACCACATATTATCCAAGTCTATGTTGTATTAAAAAACTTATAATTTAATAATAAATAAATATATCTTGCGCTTTGGGCTTGTTGCCCAATTAGGGAGCAGGGGAAGGGATGAGCGGGATATTAAAAGATGGAAAGACATAAGAAACCAAACCCTAATCTACGAGAGGGGATGGAGAAGTAGACGGTAGCATAGGGTTACGTGGTATTTACAAAAATGCCATCATGCAAGTGCATAATATATTTTAAAAGGAATTAGTACGTTTTAAAACTAATTTAATTTATTTAGAAGTAATATTTCGATTATGTTCGATTATTTACCGATATTATGCATAATTGAAAATCTAGCCACTTTGCTGTAGTTGGTGTGGTCTGATTCGATATTTTATCGATTCGAATTTTCGATTGGATTCGATAAAATATCGAATAGAGTGATTACAATTAACACTTGAGTAGTGAGTCTTTTTTTTATATTAAAATTAAGTTGACGTCACGTGAGCTGCTTTTGAAACAGATTTACCTTAACAAGATAAATAAGTATAAAGAAAAGATGATCAGTTTAGACCATGAGAAATAGCCATTTTTGTCGATATGTAAGTTGGTTAGTTGCTAGGGATATGGGTGAGGGAGATAGATGAAAAAATTGGGACTAAATAAATGCTATCCATAAACCAATTGTATTCAGAGTGGGAATTTTGCCTCGTATTGAGTCGAGAGAGTCGGATTTCACCAGATGAGTGATACACGTGGAATGAGCCAACCTCAAACCTTTGGGAATCTCTCGAATTTCAGCAAGCAAAGGCATGAGAGGAATTGAGAGTAGAGGGGAACTTGTTGACTTAATTTGTCAATTGAGTTGTGAGCTTCTATACTTTTAATCTCAGTAAAATTACAAGTTTAGTTTTTAAAATCAACTGTAGTGTAATAAAGTTTCAATTTTAACATAGACTTGATTTAAAGAAGTTTGATTTTTTTTCCTGACATCGGCAAGAACAGTCCATACCAATATTGGTGCACAATATTTAGGCTCCTCTTAGATCCACACATCGTCCTATGGGGTAAGGATCTTTGTGAAAAAGATACCTTCCAATCTCTTGTCTCCCCTTTCCCAATTCTGCTTGTTCCCTCGCCAATCCTATTTTTGAATGCTAAATGAATTCATCGTAATTTTTTTTTACAACATACGAAGTGAGTGATCGAATTCATAACGGTTTAGTCACAAATATATGTCAATTACCACTAAATTATGCTTACGACACTTCGCTGCTATTAAAACATGAGTAAATACTCAACTAATAGTCGAGGATTTCTATAAATTAAAAAGCTGTAATGAAAACAAAATAGTTGAAGACTCGTAGTTTTATTATATTTATTTAATTAAAATGTTTTTTTAACGCAAAATAAAGGGTAACTTGCCTTGTAGCTGTAGGTACATGATAAACTCATTTGAGGACCCGAAGAAAAGCACCTCCCATCTCCTTTACTTGAAATCCAAAACTATAAATAAATATTTCTTAAAATAATTGTTATTTTCCCCAACTTWTAAATATCCCATTTTAGTATCAAAACTGTAAAATAATAACTTCTACACCTTTGAGCATAATATTTTATACAAACAGTTGAAGGTCTYGCCCACGCATTCATTGAATATAAACAAAAATACTAATTTCTTTTAAAAACTACAAAAAGAAAACAAAAGAAAAAAAAACAGAGGAAAAAAAAACTATTTTAGTCTTGTCGTAAACTGTATTTTAATTATTTAGCAAAGTTTTATTTGATTTTAAACACTACGCTCCTACATTTGAACCAATGTAAAATATTAAAATGATTATTGGAGTGGAGAATCGAACCATTTACTTTATAAATAATAGTAACATTTGTCAAATCTATCATTCATGTCAAATATATATAAATTTTTTTCAATACATGAGATTAAACCTCCGACYTCTAAAAAAACGAGTTATGCCAGCATGAATTGAACTCATCGTAATTGATACTCTATCTCCMATCAAGATCGATTGTCTAAAAATATGTRAAATTTTAAAGTAAAAAAATATCTTCACCATTSAATTATACTTATAATACACCTCAATTTATAAAAAAAAAATACACATTTTGTAACGTAAGAAATTCGACTTGATCCTCATTTTTAACGGTCGTGATGCATCACCACATTCGTGGGGCACAAATACGACGATGAAACAATAAGGTCCCAAACTTTTAAATTAATTTCCTAATTGACCCCAAAATGTTTACGTATTTACAAACCTATCCCACGGTGCTCTCTTTCCAGCTCCTCCATCTCTCTCTCTCTCTCTCTCTCTCTCTTGTTGGTTCCTTGGCATTATATTCTCTGGTTCGAAGACGGTGTTTGAAGGAACCCTCCGTTCAAAATCAGGGAGCTCGATTTTCTTCATTGCATCGTCTTCTTCAACATCTGCACCTCTTTCTCTCCAATCGGCGACGTTTCTCAGATTACTTTTTTTTGCAGTTCTTTTGTCTACCTCGCTTTTCTGCAATCTTGCTGTCGCGTATCGCCCAAAGTTCAGGTTCTCAATTTTTTAGCTTGTTTATTTTGGTTCTTTATAGGATTGAGCTTTTGGATAGAAGAGTCGTTCCTTTTTGTTTGCAAACGGGTGGAGTATTTGAATTTAGCCCGAAAGATTGATCTAAGAAGGTCTCAAATCGTGGCTTTCAGCTCCTTTGTTTTGTTTATTTATTTGTTTTTGTTTCCATGAATGGTTCCGCTGGTAATTATGACCTGCTCGGGGTTTTCGTTTGCATTTCATGGGAAGGTAAGTGGTTTTTGCTATTGTTCCTTCTCGTGATATCTGATTCAACCAACTCGATTATTTAATGAAATTAATTTTTGAATCCGAAGGCGTCAATTGGATGCCTTGTGTGCAGTCTGGTGCCTGCCATTTAATGTTAGCTTCATAGAATCAATGGATGGTTATACCAATCGCTGGTATAAAAAAGGCTCCTTCTCATGACGTTCTGTTTCTCCTTTATTTTGTTCTCTCGTCTTAGTAAAAATATAGTAAATGTACCCAGAATTGTTTATTTCTGTTGTGTTTGTAACTCGTGTTTCCTTCTATTTCTCGTTTTTTTTTTGTTCTTTTTGGATTTAAAAACTGAAAATCTAACATGGAGACGATTGAGATATACTTTAGATGGATATATATTTGGCCAGTGCTCTAAGTACGGGCAAAAAGCTACTTGCAAAAGATCTCACCCTCCTGATTCATCATTCCAAAAATATGCTCTAAAATAATCCACCCCCTGCTGTGTCGATCCTACACAATTTCCGTACTTGATGAAAATATGAGCCAGAAAAGATTTTCTGAGCTTATTTTGACTTGATAGTTGCTTCGAGTGAAATTACAACAATTAGTTTTTGCATTATCTTGTGCTTACTACGAACTCAGGACCCATGGATTAATTGTTTGTTTTTAACTTTCTTGGCTGCCAAATTGGCGCCTAAGAACCATGAATGCTCTTATTTCGTGTGGAGTGTAGATATCCAACATGAATATCTTTTGGCCCATGATTTGAAGTGTTAAAGATTTTTGATTGTCGCACTCGGTGAGGATGCATGAAGTATGCTTTGGGGATGCTGACACATTAGTATGCTCATAGTAGGTGCATCTGGCAGAGAAAGTAAAGAAAATTTATTAAAAAATGAAAAAAAAACTAGTTTCCATAAAAACTAGGAATATTTCGTTAAAAAAAAAAAATCTAGGAATATTGATCTAGTAACAAAGATAAATGAACAAATGCATAAAAATGAATAGAAAACTGAAAGGAGAATTAATGCATTTTACTTGACTTGAGAAGATGTGAAAGTGATGTTTGGGATGGTTTTTTTAAGGACTGTATATTTTATGGGATGCTTGAGCTGGATTATATTTTGCTGTTCGAGAATATTATGCAACAGCGATATATTTTACTTTGCATTGCAGCATTTAAATTCGGTTTTGAATGGATGAGAATACAAGTTTGTATCTTCAATTCTTTAGAACATATAAAAATATGTAAAGTATACTCCATTCAATGTGCCCCAACCATGTTCATGTCCTAACTCTTTTAGAACTGATATGTTGCCATTCCACATTGCTTAATGTACGTGTCCTGTTTCTGCATCTGCGTTTCTTAGATTGGAACATTGACAAATGTGGTTTACAGTATTCAAATGATATTTGTCTCAATGTTGAATACTTGAGTTACACATGTAAGTGATGRTGGCTTTCTCATCCTTCCTTCTTTATTTTCAGATGGAGCAACAGGATTCTGTGGACAAGGAATCTCTCATTGGTACTAGCGATAGTTTTATAAATGAGGATGGTGTTTCTTCAAGTGGAAATATCCACATGCCAATTATAAATAATGATGAAACTAAAAGAACAAGTGAGAATACT